ACAATTGAGGTTCTGGATCTTCGAAGGAGGGTAATCTAAGGCTAACGAGGAGTACACGCATCAAACGTATATCTAACTACTTTATGTGATTCGTATTATTTATATGCATGAGATCTTGTTTTAGATGCTAAGAAATTGTTTCTTGAAATTCCGCTAAGTGCATCTATAATCCTACAGTGGTATCAGTTTGCCTCTTGCGTATAATAATATGATCATAATTAATTTGATTAATTTGATGTGTATACTGTTAATTTTATTTTTATTACGGGGAGGAAGTATTGTTTTATTGAAATTATAATTAAAAACCCCCAAATTAATTAGAATGGAGATTTTGATTAATTTGTTCAATTAGATTTTTTGATTTGGGTCTAAACCGCATCAAAGATCACCGATTAATTTTACAAAAGTTGTAAAATTAATTAACTCAAAAAAAAAAAACGATTTTGAGTGGAGCAGCCACGGCTGGGTGGCAGACCCATCTGAAATGGGCCACGATTGCTGCTCCGGTGGTCAAGGAGAACTCCGGCGATGCATGAAGGCTGTTTTGGGTTGCGGCGACCAGTAACCCGATGGTAATAAGTCACCTCCGCCGCGATAAAAGGCCACGAATATTAGAAATTCGTTGGCCATGGAGTAAACTCCGGTCACGAATTTCAGAAATTCGTTGGCCATGGAGTAAAATCCGGCCATAAATGACACTTATCACTAATGTGCATGAACTATAAAACTCTTTTAAGAAAATTAATACTTTAATATAAAATTATAGCGTTGAAATAGGTATTTATATTTTAGAAAACTAACCATGAAGAAAATAAAGGAATAGGATTAAAGAGAATTGAATTTGCATTGAAAGAATAGGCAGAACTTGCAGAGGCTATAACACCTTCAATATAACTTTGAATTGGGTGATTCTTGAGCCTAACCTCAAGGAATTTTCAAGAGGAACAACTTTTCTTGAAATAGAAAAACCCCAAAACAGACAAGAAATTCCCGAAAATTGGCTCCAAAGATATTCGGGTTGATTTTTCTTTTAGAAAAGAGGAAAAGAAAAGTAGGAAAAGGTTGAGGAAAAAGAAGAATAAGAGAGAAGAAGAGAATTGAATTTTGGTGTGAAGAATATGAGAGGTATGAAGGGGTTATTTACAGGCTCATGAATGAAAAAATTAAGGTAAGATTTTGTAGGAAGAATTATGGTAAATGTAGTTTAAGGAATTACTTGGGAAAGAGAGTTTAAGAATTAAGGAAGGTTTAGTTTATGGTGATTAAAAATTAAAGAATTAAGGTAAGTAGCTTGATCATGAAATGGAAGATGGCAAGTGAGCTTGCTTGGAGAATACTCAAGAAGGATTTAAGGCAATTAAATTGTATGATCAAATCTTTGTGAGATGGAAAATAGGAAATAAGGAAATTTAAAAAAGGTAATTAATATACAAAACTACCAAAATAATTAAACCAAAATTAGCATAAGGTGGCCGAAAATATTGAGCTTATTCATGCTCATATTTTCAGACCTCATTGCTTAGATTTAGGAAATATTTTGCTAGATTTTAAGGATTAAAAATGATTGTGTAAATAATATATTTTGTAGAAAATAATTAATTAGAAAAATACCAACTTTAAAATAATTAATTAATCATGAAAAATCAGATTTTCTATGCCTAGAAAATCCGAAATTCCTAGCTTAATTAAATAGATTTTCGGCCCTTTTAAAATAAATAAGAAAGATATAATTTTTGCTTAATTAAAATATCCGATATATATATATATATATATATATATATATATATATATATATATATATATATATATATATATATATATATATATATATATATATGTAATCCGTTTTTTGAAATGAAATAAATGGATAATAAATCTTATCTAAAATCCAAAATAATAATAATAATATATATATATATATATATATATATATATGTAATCCGGTTTTTGAAATGAAATAAATGGATAATAAATCTTATCTAAAATCCAAAATAATAATAATTAAGTTTTAAAAATATTTTTGGCGCCAAAATTCAGATAGAAAATAATTAACTGAAATACCCTTTTTAGAAAATTATTAATAATTAATTAATAAGAAAATACGTCTCAAAAATACGGGGTATTACAATAAGAAATAAATTAATTCGATCAAAATCTTACCTTTGAGTATCGTAGTGAGAGTGAAACTATGAACTATCAATGGAGAGCGCAGATGAGCGGTACTATGGCGCTGAGGGGCTGTCAGACCGATTGAGGGTGAGGGAGGTGGTGAGGGAAGCGGCGGTGAGTGATGAAATTAAGACGAGCGGTGGTGAGGAAAGCGGTGGACGACTCAGTGAGAAAAAGGGAAAAAATAGGGTTGCTGCAAATGAGAAAATGAAAAAAGAGGGAAAAGGAATTAGTGTTTAGGTTTAAACTCGAACGGGAAAATGGGCAGGGGACTTGGGCTTAATATAATTCGGTTTGGAAATTCGATTTTCGATTTTTGGAAGCCCAAAATCGAAACTGATCCGCAATCCATTTTTTTTAAAATCTCAAATCGATCCAATCCAAATTTCCAAAAAATCGAACTGAATTGTTAATTCAGTTTAGTTCGGTTCGATTTTCGGTTTTAATCCATATCACTTTTCCTTAATTTAGTATGTACATATAATATAAAAACATTTGAAATTCTCCATATTAATCATATAAGCACAAAAAACATATACACTTTTGTAATGACTTATAAAACTAAACCATTATTATTTTCATAACGAAATACATTTTTATTTCGGTTTTTTGTCACCATATGCCACGATTTTTTACTTAATTTAAGATGATGATAAACTATCACCTAAACAAAAGTAATTCTTAAAACTACTAACTAATATAGATAAGGAAGTAGGGTCGAATCGATAGGAAAACAATATTTTTTAACAAAATTAATAATTTCCTAATTAATTAATATAATCTTAAGTATAAAGAAACAAGTTAATTGTGAATTATTAAATTAAGTAATAATTAAACTAGGGAAATAATCAATAATAAAAAGCCTAGAGTATAAGTTCAATAAAGAATAATATTGCAGGATAAAGCACAATAATTAATAATCATTGTTGTAATTAATCAAATTGACATGATCTCGCAATTTATTAAATCTAATTCTACCTATTGAAACTAGCCTTAATATCAAAATTATTATATCTTGATCATAAAATCAATATTGCGTATAACAATTAAACAAGCGCTAATGTAATTGCATAGAGTTAAAACAATCAATAAGAAATCAATATGCAACATCAACAATCAATAAAAACGAATCACCCCTTCATACTAATTCACGTGTCCACAAAACCCTAAAATTAAATTAACTACTCACATAGTCACACACATTAAAAATATCAACTAAGTCATAAGCTACCGTAAAAGCCTAAACAATCTAAAACTAAAATACAAAAATAAAATAAAATATAAGGCAGCCTCCAACGTCCGCAACATATAGGCCTCAATTTAAACCTAAAAATAGCAATGGATCAAATTCAGATCGAGTGTAGCTTCACCCGCATCCATCCATTATCTCAATCGCTCTATCCACATCCATCTGTCACCCGCTTCAACCATCATCCATATCCGTGTGTCCATCATCCGCAAATGAAATGAGTGGAGATGATGACCAATGAATGAGTATTTAAAGTGAAAAAAAATCCACATAAACTCTAATTTTTGGTTATTCATATAATACTTTATTTTATTTTATTAATAATAAAAATGGAAACAATAACAATATTGTATTAAAAATTAATTTGCAACAAAAAAAAAAAAAATTTTTTTGAAGACAAAAAAAAAATTGATTCTCTTGCACATTTCATATTTTATTATTAAAATTTTTAGATAAGAAAATAAATATAGGTTAAACGAGTGGGTGGATGGTTAGCGGGTGAAAAAGAGTATCATTTACATCCGATCCGATCCATCACCCGCTTCTCATCCATTTAATTCGGGTTTCGTCCATTTATTTAAAACGGGTGGAGCGAGTATCCGTTTAATATTGCCACCCATACCAAAAAAAAAGGCAAACTAATTTAGGCCTTATTTGGCAATTGACTGTTTAACTTGGTTTGTTTGACTGGCTGTTAGCATTGGTTGTTTGACCATTTGTTGTATGTAAAATATATTTGGTAAAATTAGCTGTTGGCTGTAATTATGCAAGATGACCTTAAAGGACATTATTATGAGTTCTTATTCATTTGTTATAAGTATTATTAATTATTAATCACTAGTTACTAATTTTTAATTATTAATTACTATTACGAATTACTAACTATTACTAATTATAAATTACTAACTATTAATTACTGATTACTAATTATATATTACTATTTACTAATTATTAATTGTTAATTACTAACTATTTATTAGCAAATTATTACTAAGTAGTAATCACGAATTACTAATAATCATTTATCATTAATTATTAATGAAAAGCCAAAAGCTAATGTCAAAAAGCTAGTAATTTTTGACGGAAAAGCCGGCTTTTCAACTAGCTAAAAAGCCGTTTGTCAAACACATTTTTTAGCTGGTTGACTAAAATAAAAAGCTAAAAGCTAATCAGAAAGCCCGCCAAAAACTATTTACCAAACATGGCCTTAGAGTAAATCTCGCAACACACTCACTCGGGCGGGCCCGATTGGACTCGTTACTTTGATGCCAGCAAATTCTCATTTTGGGTAACAATTCAGGACACCGTTCGGACCAATAACCAATTTTTTCTTAAACTACATACTACGTGCCAAACAGGAACGCTACCCGAGGAAATCAACCAAGGAACCAAAAAGGAATATCCTTTACCCAAATTGTCCATCCCTATGTTGGGCATTTTACACTTATAAAGTTTCTAAAAACAAAATTCAACCAAAATCGTTATGGCCCAAATTCATTCTCAATTACACAACAATTTAACAATAAAACATTTTTAGTGGTGACTACTACTTGTAACTGATGACGCAAATTCCAAAAAATCAATTCATTTTTCTTAAAAAAAATCTCAAATCCACGCGCCATCTAAACAAATCACAGATCACGTAAATGACATGCGCTATTTAAGCGCGTAAACAAATTTCAAAAAACGTACTAAAATGTTCCAGTAAACCAGGAAGTGCCACGTGTGTCCCCACCTGGCATAAAAGCATCGCATCTTCTCAGAGCTTCATTCATCGCACAACAAAATAAAATCAAAATAAAAAAGAAAAATAACATAAATTAATAAAATAATAAAAATAAAAATAAAAAAATAAAAAAATGAAAAAACCACCATAAGCGACGAACGAAGGAGCGAAGCTATGACGGTCATTTCTCTCTCCTCCAATCAACACCTCAATCATCATCATCATCACCATAATTTTCTGCAAATTCCTTTACTTTCATCTACTCAAATGTTCTAAATTGAGTCGAAACTTTATCAATTTTGATTTGATTTTGATGATGATTATGATGACGACGACAATTTGATTCTTGGAAAAAAAAAGGGAAAAAAAATCTTCGTTTTTAGGGTTTCAATCGAGTTTCCACTTGTCAGGTAATTTGATTTTGGATATTTCTGGTTTAATTGTAAGATTATCGTGTAAAATTAGAGTGATTTTGGTTGTGTTGTTGAGTTCAATGGTGAAAATCTGGGAATTGTATGAAACTAATGTGTAATAATAAAGAGGTTGAATGTTTGGGAGAAGGGTTTTTATTAATTGAATCTATTAATAATAATCAGCTGCAAAATCAGGCTGTTTTTGTTGCAATGGAGAATAATAATAGTAGTGTTATTGGTAGTAATAATTATAATAATTTGAATTTGGATATGAATGTGAATGATGAATCTTCGGCATCTAGGGTTAAGTTTTTGTGTAGTTTTGGGGGGAGTATATTGCCGAGACCTCAAGATGGGAAGCTTAGGTATGTTGGGGGAGAGACAAGGATTGTGAGTGTACCGAGAGATATTAGATATGAGGAATTGATGGGGAAGATGAGGGAGTTGTATGAGGCGACCGCAATTTTTAAGTATCAGCAACCCGAGGAGGATCTAGATGCACTTGTTTCGGTTGTTAATGATGACGATGTTACTAATATGATGGAGGAGTATGATAAGTTAGGGTCTGGGGACGGGTTTACGAGGCTTAGGATATTTTTGTTTTCTCATCCGGAGCAGGATTCGTCGTTGCATTATATGGATGGGGATGAGAGGGATACGGAGAGGCGGTATGTGGATGCTTTGAATAGCCTGTGTGAGTCTCCTGAGTGTAGGAGACTACAACAGTTTAATGATTCCCCGGTTATGACTCCTGTTGATGAGGTGCATATTGCTGATCAGATGTTTAGTTCGATGAATCTCGAAGGGAGTGTGCATAATCAGAGGAACTTTGAGATGGGAATGCCACAGTATAATTTAAGGAAGCTTGCTATTCCTAGTATGGGTTCAGGGCAGCATTTGGGTCATGCTGCACAACGGTATAATGAGGAAACTCAAACTCCGTGGAGTCCGGCTTTCTATTCCCCAAGATGTGGTGGACCTCATGATACACGCACTTATACTGAGTATCCATCTTCACCGTCATCTGCTTGTTATCGTATGCCATTTCAAGAAGTACCGGATAAATGTGTGGATAGGATGCCAGATGAGTCTTCTCTTCAACAAGGAAATGGTCAAATCCCATTTGATCCTCAACAGCAATACTCTGACAATGTAGCCTGGATGCCCCCTGGAGGTATGCCTGTTGATAGAGGTGGATTCCCTGGAAATATACTTAATGGGCATAGTGTTCTGGATAGACCAAGCGTCTGTGAGAATTGCAAAATGACTTTTCAAAGGAATCCAGCTGCGTCTGACTATCACTGGAGGCCTGAAGGTCAGGGTCATGTGGAACAGTCGGCTGTTGCAAATGGATACCCTCATGTTGCAAATCAGTGTGTTGAATGCTTTCCAAAGAGGGAACCTGTTATGTTGAACATGGATCCAAAGTTGCAGCATAGCATAGCTGGAGTTGGAAGGATGGGTGACCATTATAACTTAGATGGTTCTGGTGCAAACATCACTATGAGACCGAACAACTTACCTGAGGGGCACCTAGTGTCACCACCTTATGCCCCCCTTGAAGATTCTCGCTACCCCCAACCTGGTGCCGAATTGGGAGGTGAGGTTTTCCACGGCCAAGCTGTTGCTGCTGGTTCACAAGCTCACGTTCCTTTAGAGGAGCGAGGTGCCCATGCTACAAACTTGCCATACTCTTATGGCACAGATACTCCTCACCAAGTATTACATGGCCATCCGTCTGCACAGGCTATGTGGAGGAATGTCTCAACCCCGGTGCATGTGCCTCCAGTGTATGATCCTTCTAATCTTCAGCTGAGAAACGGTATGCCTAGCTCATCAGTTCCCAGGGCTAATGTTGAAGCCAGTCCCAGATTCTTTGTCGGAGTTGATCAAAGTCCTTGGGGTGAATCTTCCCGGAGTAGGTTAGGAGTTGAAGGATCTGCTACACCAGAAAGTCCTTATGGCCATTTTTTAAAATTGAGTGCTGGTGCTCCTTTGCAGGAAATTCACCCAACATATCCTCAAGATCCTTTAAGAAACACACCTAATATCGGTAATGTTCCTCCTATTGAATCTCGGAGACCTTCAACTATAATGAATGATAATATGCTTTCTTCTGGAACTAGAGATCACACTCCTTTACAAAGAATAGATGCTAGTAATGCTGTGGTCAGATTAGATGAAAGAAACATTCATCATGAATCCAATGGAACTACTCACTTGAGAAAAGCTGAGCGCCCAGATATAAATGGTTTCATCTGTACGCAAGAAGATAATAATGCAGAGAATAATTGCAATGTGGCTTCACTTAATACTATCAAACTAAATAACACAAGACCTGGTGGTGAAGATATTAAGTATGGTATTGAACCGGGAGAAACCAATACTTGCCCACAAGTAGAGAAGGCAGACTTGAGTTTCTTGCCTGAATTGGTAGCCTCTGCCAAGAAAGCTAAACTGGAAAGTGTCGAAAGGGTGAAAGCCAGAGCTCAGGAAGATGGCAATCCTGTTATCTTGCATGACAGTCCTGCAAAAATTGCTAATATTGATGAAACAGGATCACCGGTCAGTGTTTGACTGACTCGATTTTTTTTAATCACATCTATGTGGAAGTTTTCTTAATTCAATTACTTCTATGATGAACTTACGAGCTGTGTAATAGGATGTTGAAGGTAATTCTGAGCGTGACTCTGACGAAAACATTGATACGTCTAAGATTGAGCGCACAAAGGCTGAAGATGAAGCTCTTGCTAAAGGACTTCAGGTGCTTTCTTTTTAGCCCCTTCTCTTTTACTTCTGTTTTTACAAATTCACTTTCGTATTGAGAAAAATAGCAATAGAGACCTTCAAGCATCAGTCCTGCCAGCAGAGTAGCAGACTATCCAGGCAACGTGCTTTCGCCTGTGTCATTGTTTAGGGTGAAAGCTATTATTATCAAATGTCTTGGTTGAGCTCAGGACTTTGGTTGCTTTCATTCTAACATTTTCCTTAAACATGCTATTACTTATTTGCAATCATTAGATTCGAAAGACATTTTATGGAATGCGTTTTGTTGCTTTTGTTGCTGTAATTACTGATTGTGAAGTTCAATTCATGACTAGCATTAAATTCTTCACTTTTGTTGATTCAGATAATATTCAATGATGATCTCGAAGAGATTCGTATGCTTGGTTCTGGTACATATGGTGCTGTTTTCCATGGGAAGTGGAAGGGTTCTGATGTAGCTATAAAAAGAATTAAAGCTAGTTGCTTTGCTGGAAGACCTTCTGAAAGAGAGCGTCTTGTATGTTGTTTCCATTTAAGAATTTCCTTATCAGTATTATTTTATTTTACATGATGTGGTGATATTTTGGTTACCTTGACCCTTTTATATTGTGATGCCCATTTGGATAGAAACAATAATGAATGAAGCAGGTAAGTGAATCTGAAACATTAATCTAGACGTTTATGGGTGTGCTTGATTTACTGAGAATGTATAGCGGATTCAATATTCGTCCCCTCCCTCACTGCTTTGGCTTTACCTTATGGGGTGTTTGGTACATGGGAATTAAGGGTGGGATTGGGAATTTTAATCTCAATTCAAAAAAAATCTCTTGTTTGTTAGATGGGATTGAGAATAAATGGGGTGAATTCCCACCATTTTATTACCTAGGGAGGGTAGGTAATAAATGGATGGGAATGGGAACAAGTGGAAAATGACATTTTTGCCATTAATGAAAAGGAGAAAGGTTAGTAAGGGTAGTTTTGTATTTTTGTTATTTATTCCCTATCTATTACCATCTACCACCCAAACAAAGTATTATCATATTTTTATGTATTCCCAACAATCAATTCCCAATCCCATTCCCATATTTTAATCCCCAAACTCCCATTCCCACATCCCAAACGCCCCATATGTGTATGCTTTGTCAAAATTTTCTTTTGTACAATCGCATTAAGGCAATTAATTGTTCCTTCATCCCCCAAAATCAAATTACATGAATTGTTGCAAGTCATACTTAGGGAATTATTTCCTTGGTTTTATTATACTTCCTCTGTTTCTCTCAAATTGCATCACATAAAATGGACACGTTATTTAATGTAAGAGGAGGGAAAGTGCAAAAAAAAAAAAATTTAAGTAAAAAGTATATTTATAGTTTGTTTGGGTAATGTTAAGGGAAGGAAAAGAAGGGGGGGGGGGGAGGTGAAGGGGAGGGAAGGGAAAAAAGGGGAAGGAAGAATGATGAGTTTTCCTTCCAATCTCTCCGTTGTTGCAGGGATCAATTTTTTAGAATTTAATCCCTCCATTTCTCTCCCCTCCAATTCCCTTCGTCCCTAATTTTTTATCCAAATGAAAGATACTCCCTCCCTTCGTTTCCTTCCCTTCCTTTCCCTCCATTTCCTTCAATCCAAATCCCTTCGTCCCTAATTTTTTATCCAAATGAAAGATACTCCCTCCCTTCGTTTCCTTCCCTTCCTTTCCCTCCATTTCCTTCAATCCAAACACACTCTTAAGGAAGATAGAGAGGATAGGCCAAGTATGAATAAATTAGGTGTGGAAAGTTGTAAAAGATGTCAAAAAAGGAAGTGTTGCAAATTTAGTGAAACAGAGGAAGTATTACGTAAAAGATTATATAACTGCAATTGTTCGAGTATTTTCTTAAAACACATTTTATCGATAATTTGCTACCATATGTACATCAAATTTATTTTAAAAAAAATGAGTAACAAATCAATGGTCGAACGCTAGAAGATAATGGATTTTGGCATCTTAAATAAAACACCTCTTATTTATTTATTTTTTATTTTTATTGTTTTTATTTATGTATGAGCATGCTTGACTATTTAGTTTGCAAGCTGGCATGCACATTATGACTTCAAGTATATTTGTAATTTATATAAAATAGCGCTATCTAAGAAACTGATGTCTTAATTAATGATTTTATTATAGATCGCGGACTTTTGGAAGGAGGCTTTCTTATTGAGTTCGTTGCATCATCCAAATGTAGTTTCCTTTTATGGTATAGTACGCGATGGCCCAGATGGGACATTAGCAACTGTCACCGAATTCATGATTAATGGATCATTGAAACAGTACTTGCAAAAGAAGGACAGGTATTGACAACTAATGACTACTGATCTACAATAGTGGATTTATTGAGCTAGTTGTTCTGGAGTGTGTAGACTGCACTTTTACAATTTTCACACTCTTTGGATAGGGAAGGAGAAATATTGATGCTTTTTTTTGGACTATTTCTCAGTAATTAATAAGTAAAATTTCCTTTTCTTTACAGAACAATTGATCGGCGTAAAAGGCTAATCATAGCTATGGATGCAGCTTTTGGAATGGAGTATTTGCATGGGAAGAACATAGTGCATTTTGATTTGAAATGTGAAAATCTTCTTGTCAACATGAGGGATCCTCATCGACCAGTGTGTAAGGTATGTGCTTCTTGTGTATCTTGATCATTTATACCAGAGAGAGTTAATAATATAATTTTCTTTTATGCCTGCTACGTATGGTCTGGCCGTGTTTCTATAGTTTTTTTTTTCTTTTTTTTTTTTTTTGGCTGTGATGCCTCAAGCAGTTAAATGTGAAAATTTTATCATGAAATTTGATTCCCTTCATCTCTATTTCATGCCTACCTGAGTTCTTACATGATCTGATGTGAAGACTTTACATTAACTAGTTGATGTGATCCGCTAGTAAGAGAAAAAAGGAAAATATATTTTGTTGTCAAAATAACTATTTACGGATGCTGGAAGCTCTTTGAAAAATCATTGCATCTTGTATTTATGTTGATGGGTTCATAGCTGAATTTTTTTAGGGCCTACCTGCAAACCCAGGAATTTAGAGGATATATATGGTAATATACAACTTATGGACTTGATAATATAAAAAGATGGCTGTGAAGCTGGGCCTTTGCCCCGGCTTACCCGCCTGCATCTAAATGTGAAAATCTAAAGTAGATTTTAACAAGAGATGCTGGAAGCTCTTTGAAAAATCATTGCATCATGTATCTATGGTGATGGGTTCATAGCCGATTTTTTTAGGGCCTACCTGCAAACCCAAGAATTTGGAGGATATATATGGTAATATACGACTTATGGGGACCGGATTGTATAAAAAGATGGCTGTGAAGCTGGGCCTCTGCCCCGGCTTACCAGCCTGCATCTAAATGTGAAAAATCTGAAATAGATTTTAACAAGAGATGTTGAAGAACATTGTAATTTTTCAGTGCCTTAATTTTTTTATTTTATTAATATATATGGTGCTAATACATTAGTTTGTCATTTTTAGTAATCAGGGAATAACTAAGATTGTATTGCACCATTTGTGCCTAATATCAAGATGAGTAGAGTAGCATTTGACCTTATTTTTCGTGTCCTAGATTGGTGATCTGGGCTTGTCAAAGGTGAAGCAACATACATTGGTGTCAGGTGGTGTTCGTGGAACTTTACCCTGGATGGCCCCTGAGCTTCTCAGTGGAAAGAGTAACATGGTGACTGAAAAGGTGAGTGTTGGAATTATTCCCTGTTTTTTCTATCCTTGATATTAACCTTACACTTATGTGATGTAGATTGATGTGTACTCATTTGGGATCGTAATGTGGGAGTTGCTCACTGGGGAGGAACCTTATTCAGATATGCATTGTGCCTCAATAATTGGTATGTAAATCTTGTAGACGCTCTATGTGCTGTACTACTACAATTGTTAGTTTTTTTGCTGCTTCCTTTTGATATAAATTTGAAACTCTCTCTATGGTGTTGTGAGTGCTTATTTGTATTCTGATGTATGTTTAAGTGACAAGAAGAATGATGCTTTTAAGATGGTAATATTTTAATTCCCGTGGAATTATAATGATGATTGTGCTCTGTGTTTGGAACATGTAAACCACATATCAGATAAGTCCAGTATGGTGCAATGCCAATGGTTACCTCTTACCTCCCAAAAATTTAACTGATTAAATATTCTTTAGAATGATAAAAACACAAAATTTTGTTATGGTTCATTCAATTTCATCTACTGACTTTCTGTCATTTTCACTTGGATGAAAAGGTGGCTCTCTTATGCTGCTTGGTTGATAGGATCAAAGTTCCTTTTTCAGATTGTAGGATTACGAGAGATATTCTTATTCTTTATAATTCAGTTTATTATTTTCCTTCTTTGAAAGGCAAAATTCATGCCTTTATTAGCCGAGAATTGTTTTTGTATGGGTTTATTGAAGTACGCTGAATAGCTATACCAACATATGAGTCTACCATTGCTTTTTCCCCTGCAGTTTTGTGTTTCCTGGTCTCTAGTGAAAGGATGACCTATTTCGGCATAAGAGTGCTCTTGTAGTCCCGTATAGTGCAATTCTGTCATGAACCAAGTTCATTCAGCATCCACTTGAAGAACCTGTTAACTCCCTTAAAGTGTGTATAGTTACTTTTTTTTTTTTTTTTTTTTTTAGCTTGAGTAATTTTTTTGGTCCCCGTAGCTCATCTATAATACAGGAGGTCAGTTATACAGTGACCATAGTCTTCTCTCTGCATATTTCCTTTCTATCAGATTTTATAGTAGCCAATAGTCCAACAACAAAGCACACGAACTCATCACATGTATATGTATTCTTTAATTTTTTTTTTTACTGAAGGTTGAAAGGATTTTTCTTTTGTACAAAAGAATAAGTGCTAGAAAAGGAGTTAAGAGTTTTGAGAGTGGAGAAGAGTCGGGGTTCTGGAGGAGAGGGAGGGAGAGTGAGGGATCTATTTTCCCTTGTTTACTTGCTGGATTGGGGAAGAGGAAGAAAAGGAATAGGTGGAACTTGGGAGGTTTTATTATCTTTGTATATATAATAATACATCAAATCCTTCCAGATCTGGAAAGAAATTGCTGCCAGTTCCCTGTCCTAACAACACAGTATCATTTTTTTTTTAAAAATCCCTTGGCATTCCTTTCATCACCGTTAAGCATGGTCGACAGCAGTATACAGTAGCAGCTAAGGAGAATTAATAATCTGCTTTTCTGGTTAAAAAAATTATTGTTCATCACCAGGCTCAGGGAGCTCTGTACACCTCGAGCCATCTTGATATGTTGCTACTATATTACTAGAGGACTGATGTCTGAAGATAGAGGGCTCCTAATTTTCTGTTTTATTAGTTAAGGTTTTTAAAGTACATGTGTTCCATAGTTTTAATGGGCACTTAGGCTTTGGTTTTTTTTGACTGGGAATGTCCGAGTGTCTGAATATCACTAGATGACTGTAGCTGTAGACATTTGACAAACCCTGCATGTTGCTTCCAGGTGGTATCGTGAACAATACATTGCGTCCCCAAATTCCAACTTGGTGTGATCCTGAATGGAAGTCTTTGATGGAAAGCTGTTGGGCACCTGACCCGGTCGATAGGCCATCATTTACAGAGATTTCCCAAAAGCTAAGGAGTATGGCTGCAGCAATGAATGTCAAATGAGGCACAAGGCAGTTCATGAACTTTGCAGGTTTGATGTCTATTAGCTTGACACTGATCTCTCAAGTTCTGGAAAGCTAATTATTATGCTGCATTCTGCTTCAGACACAACTATGAAGAAGTATAACAGTTTTAGCATTTCATCATATATAATTCTTTTGTGTCACTATGCACACTCTAGCTGACATTCAGAAAGATCAGAAAGTTGGGAGTGCCATCCCAAAACTGAATGTAAGTGTTCCTGTGTGCACGACCTATATAGGCTATACCGTTATTACAATATTCTGAGCTAGATTAACTGTGTGAGTCGTTAGAAAAATGTGGAGGGGATGAGGAGGGGAAGACAGGAGATTGACAGGGAATGGAAGGGAGGAGACAGAATACTACGGGCTGCATTTTCCTTCCAAATCTTGAGAGGATTTGTTTTATTAAAAAAAGGGAAGCAAAGTGTATCCCTGTGATTCTATTCCCATCCCTTATCTATTTCCTTTTCTTAACATGAGAGAATGGATCCTGCATTCTCCTTCTCCTCCCTGCCCTTTAATATCCTTCCATCCGAACACACTAAAGAACCTTTAATTATGCTTTGAGGCTTGATTGTCGAATTGCATTCCCTTTGTGCAGAATGCCATGCTTACTGGTGGTCAATTTGTAGAGAGAAGGGCTCTTTGATTTCTAAGCTGAAGTGGTGGATTCCGTTGTATATATAAGCCAATATATTATATAGCATGATCCATAAAGGAACAAATAGTACCATAACTTGCTAGGTTGTGATCGCTGAAGTGGTCAAGTTCTTTTGGTTTATATTTATATTGTAGATTAGGAATAAATTATGTGTAAACATTAAATCAAGTATGCTGTTGTAAAGAAGTACATATGATTTTTGCTTCAACAGCTCTTTGTAGTTCATACTACTGATGTATTGACATCTTATACTCGTCGAGCATTATGGTAGATGTCTGAGAGGAGAGCTGAGCTGAAAAGAAATTGTGGCATAATTTTTTGTGAAACCTGGTGAGATTTCAATTGACGCCTTGGCAGTTTTGAATGTTTGATTATCACCTTCTGTATGTTTTTCCTCCTTTTTATTTTTAAAATCATCAATCAAGTATCTTATTTAGAAGATTGTACCTATTTGAATGCGTAACAGTTGAGGTCAAAGACATAAACTGAGTTAAATATAGGACCTTTTTTTTTTTTTTTTTTTTCACCTTAATGGAACTGGGGTCAAATTTCAGGTGGGTTACGACTCCCTTAACCAAAGGTTGATTATTCAAACTAATACAATAAATCATAAATCAATTATGTAGAGTAATATATTCAAAGGTAAATCCATGGTAATAATCTTTTTGATTGCTTTTTCCATTGTTCCTAGACTTGCCACCATCTCTAGCATCCTCGTCGTTCATCATCTACGTTTCTCTTCAAACCCAAATACACACCTCTTTTCTCTGTCACCGCTGTATCTCCCTTCACTCTCCTCCAACTCCTTTGCAGTGTTGAGCTGGAAATGAGGTGGAAAATGGTGGAAAGAGTGGGAGATTGTGGTTTATTAGTCATCATGTTAAAACTGATTAAATTGTCGGATTTCTATTGCCATTTTTTATGGACATGTCTTGGTTTTCACTATTCCTAGCTCAAAATACCATAATCTACTCATAAAATTTCTACAACTTAAACACAAAGAATTAACACGCACAATTGTAGAATAATTATCTCACCTCAATGAAAACCGAGGGGGTCCTAGATGATCTATTAGATTAACAAAAACATGTCAATCTATTGCTTACTGTTTAGTCAAGTGCTTAGTCGTCAACATTGGACACTAACCTCCATTGAAGTTTCCACCGACACCGTCCACCTTGCACCACCAACATCATAGCGGCTTAGCCGCCAAATTAAACGTAATCATTATGATAAAGGGGTGAAATTAAGGGCATGGTTAAGGGGTGTCATCCACCTCCATTAACGTTGCCCTTTAAGCTTCAATTTCTCTATTGAAACTTCTGAAATTTCCATTTAAAAAAAAGAAATTCAAAAGAAAAAAGGCTTTGTTCTTGGGTATGCTGACGCCTTCTTCCTGGTGGTTACTGACAACAAGGGTGTCACTCTGGTGGTGGTTTTGGTCGCGGCGTCATAGACATGGCGGCGTATTTTTTGGCATCGTGGTGGTGTTTTTGCCGGCGACGATGGCGAATGCACAGTCAGATTTGTGATTTGGTTGGTAATATTGCTAAATCATTGTGCTGCTATTACCAAATTCTCCCATACTAAATGAACGAAAAACCGAAATTGTCCTTATGATTGACATGTTTTGTTAATCTAATACTATTTTTGTTACATATTAGTTGTGACTGTCCTTTTTTTTTTCCTATTTTAGTAAAAAAAAAATTAAAATGAAAGTACAAAAATATCTTTAGTAAAGAACTTATAAACACAATTAACTACCTATATCAGATTTAATTAAATTCCTAATCTTACTTATTAACATAATATTTTCACGTAATTTAACTCATATAAAACTTAATTTAAAAAAACAATTCATTTCTATAAATCATTCAACTGAATCAACTCCCACGAATTGTCAGAATACCAACTTCTCAACGTCGCCGCCGCATCTAACCACCCCTGTCAACGTCGTCACCGCATCTACCACCATCGTCATAATCATCGCTGCTCATCACCATATTCAAAGTCGTCGCCTCCTCTTCCAGAATTCCTTTCTCACTCTCTCTCTCTCTCTCTCTCTTTTTTTTTTTTTTGAATCGTTTAGACCTGATGGTTTGAGGGGTGATTGGGCTAGTTTGGGGTGGTTCAAGGTGAGTAAGGGTAATTTTGGGTTGGTTTAGGGTGAGTAGGTGATTTTGGTGCTGAGTGAGGGTGGTTCGGCTGAGAGGAGTTAATTTCGGTGTGGTTAGAGTTGAGAGGGGGGTGGTTTCGGTGTCGTTTGGGTTGAGAGGTGGTGATTTTGGGGTTGTTCGGGCTGCGGGGGTGGTTTTAGGGTTATTCGGGGGTGCTTGTGGGTGGTTTATGGGTGATCGGCCTGAGAAGGGGGTGGTTTCAGAGTGGTTTGGGTTGAAATAGGGTGGTTTCAGGGTGGTTCGGGTTGAGATTGGGTGGTTTCAGGGTGTGAGGTGGGCGATTTCGGGCTGGCTGCTGCTGGCCGACGGTGGTGGGATGGCTGTTGCTGGCCGACGGTGGTGGGATGGCTGCTACTGGCTGACGGTGGTGGGGTGGGTGCTGTTGACGGTGGTGGGTAATTTATTAATTACCTTCACTTTCTCCCTCCTACCTTGCTTAATTACCTATTCTTTAATTCATTAATCCACTGTTATGAAATTTTGTCAAAGGAATCCATGTCAAGCTGAAAGTTGTAACTACGGAATAATATATCAACTTGTATTTTCTCATGAAAACCGGAGCACCACCCATCAAATTCAATAACAATCATATTCAATCGCAAAATTTACCCTAAACATCTGAAAACTCTAACTCTTAGGATTAACTTAGACTTTACAATTAAATCCAAATAACTTAGCTAAATAATTGAAAACTCTAATCAACGCTTCAATAATATAACCCCCGGCTTGCATAAAAAAAAAAATCAACGCTTCAAAATAAATTTTTTAAAAAACAGGGTGAAAATTCTCAATGGTAATTTTTGTAAAATTGCACTTTTTATATGGTAAGAAATAAAAGATATGACATTTGAATATGATTATGTAATTCTTTCCCAACGTATAAACCATTAGTAATATTCAAAATACAATGTAAATGCAAAAAACAAAATGATGAACTTAATAAGAAATACGAAATAGATAAAGTATCGGATTGTACAAAGGGTCAACAGCTTATGAGTTTATTGTGCTTGATAGACTTGGGTTATTCCGCTTCAGGTATAAGATTAATGTACTACTTTAGGTTCAATGAGAGCGCGTTGAGATTTTAATAGCAATAAGAATTAAGAACGAAATGTACATCTCGGACACCTGCTGTCTGCTGAAGCATTGCACCGGTATTCATTGAGATTTAGTCATTTAGATGATCTGCAGCTGCATAACTACAATAACACAATTTAGAGGGTGACTAAGTTCCCTCCATCAGATAAACAATCAGGAATTTGAGAACAACAAATAAACAACCGTCATTAACTTTGGGGCAATAACTCTTCACCATTGAACAAAACCAGCAGTATTTGTATACTGAATGTGAAAGATTAGATCCAAAACTTCGGGTTCCAGAACCTAACATAATTTTTTTTACTCAAACACAGAACTATCTTGTAACAAACTAGATAGAATCGAAAATGGCTCGGCTTGAAACTCTAAGTGAGCACTGAACAGCTCTAGTCAAATACTTCCTCACTTCACCATCTTGCATATGCAACTTTGATCTGCAAGAAGACATTTATCATTCAGTTACTACCAAAACTTAGTTTACAACACAAGCTCAAAAGTAAAACAGCAAGCCCAGATGCTGCAATCACACCAAAAGATTATACTATTGTTTAATTTACTTGCCTTCTTACAAACAAAACAAATTGGTGAATCATATAAGAGCAATATATTGTAGCATGGAGAAAAGTGAATAAATTGTGCAAGTCTTTTATTTATCAACTAGATAAACTGGGGCTTGTTAGCTGAAATGAAGGCAAGAGCAACTAATTATACAAGAAGAAACTGGACATCAAAGATTATAGAATTGATACATGAACAAATTGAGCGATGGAAACTTAATAACCTAGAACGAAAAAGGGCATAGAGATGTCAAAATCTGAAATCCGAAATCCTAGAAATTGAAGGAAATTTGGACAAGTAGTGATTTCATCAGCACAACAATCCAAACATCAGTAACAATGATAAATTTGATTTCATAACACTCTACAATACACTATACATTTCATATCATCCAACAAAATTTATTAAATTCTGATCAATATAATCAAATAAAAAACATCACAAATGCCTAACAAATTACCTTCTTAAATGTTGCTGGGATACATCATAACTCTAACTTTATCTCCCTGCAATAATATCAAAAATTAAAAAAAAAAAAAAATCAAATCAATAATTCAACCCAAAATAATAAAACAAATTGAATAAAATGAAAACGAAAAATACCATAGATTTAGGTGGAAGGTTGGAAGTGAACTTAGCACGAACAACACCAGTATTACCATGAGGTCTGCAAACTTTACCCCAAATGCAACGATAGTGGGACCCATTCTTCTTGATTTGAGCTTTGTAAATGTAAGCAATCCTCTTTCCCAAATACCATGATACTTCTTCTTGTGTATTTACTCCTTCGATCTGTACTAAGGATGTGTTTGGGTACTGGTTTGATTTCGACCTAGTATTATACAATTTATTTCAAAGATTATTTTAAGAAATGCCCAGTAATTAGAATCAATTCAAGAGGCAGAAATTGTACAACTTTTAGAATTTTGCAATGTAAAAGATGAATTTAAGTAATTCCCAGTAATTAGAATCAATTGAAGAGATAAAAATCATACATCTTTTAGAATTTTACAACGTAAAAAATGATTTTAAGAAATACCTAGTAATTAGAATCAATAGAAGGGATTGAAATTATACTTTGTACATCTTTAAGTAGTTTACAAATTAAACGATGATTTTAAGCCATACCCAGTAATTAGAATCAATCGAAGATACAAATATCACACATCTTGTAGTATTTTACAATTTAGAAGATGATTTTAAGCAATCAGTAATTAGAATCAATTGAAGATACAGAAATTATACATCTTGTAGTAATTGACAATTTAAAAGATGATTATAAGCAATACCCAGTAATTAGAATCAATTGAAGAGTCAGAAAGTTTACCTCTTGTAGCCAAGGATTGATCCTCTGACATACAGTCTTACACGCTCACCTTGACGCCCCTTCACCATTTTTGCGCTTTCTTAACTTGTGTTACAGGAGAATGAGCAAGGCGATAAAGATAAACCCTAGTGAGGAGTGAGGTATGTTTATAATCCGGGTATGGGCTTTAACCCATGTTCTAAGTGGATAGTTGGATAATAACGCTTGTTGTGGCACCTATTGTGGGCAGTTTTCAATGCACTTGTCGTAGAGAAGAGAAGTGGCAAAATTAATCTTTGGTGCGTCTAAATCATTTCTCCATCTTGAGTAATCATGTCTCACGAATGTCGAAAATATACATTACGATAAATTCAACAATATCTTACATACGAAGTACGAGCAATATTTACTTTCATATATTATAAGAGGGGGGAGGGGCAAGAGAAGATGTGTAAATAGTGTAGAAGGTTGAAATGTTACGTGTAATTTTGAATAGAGAGGGGTTTTTTTTTATTTTTTATTTTTTTTAGTAAAAAGAAAGATACATGTTTATAACTAGACTCGTATTCTCTTAAGACTAAGACATATCCTAGCAGAGGAAAGAAAATAAGAAAATTTACAGTTTATAAAGGGCTTGATCTGTTGATGGCTATTTTGTTCTATGGCTGATCGAGCGAGGTTACATGGTCTGCAACTTTGTTAGCATCTTTATAAAATATATGTCTGGATTGATGGGAGTGAAACCATGTGTTTAAGTCAATGACTACTTAACTATGAAACAACAATTTCTCTAGAAATTGCTTAAATCAAACCCAATTCTTCATTTGCGTCATTTTATGTAATAATTCTCAATGTAGTGTTCACATGGAATCGGTACTAAGCTAGCTCCTTTGTTCACTCTAATTCAGTGCATAACCGCTAACACTATGCAAGTTATACTATGGGTACTGTGTACACGTCACGTTTATTTTAACACAAACTATTGGGTGTGGCACGACGTTCCTAATAAATACCCCAAATTTCTTATATTCCTCAATATCCTGCATTTCATTTAAATACCATTTTCTTCTCTTCTTTCACTAACACCTCCCATGACAGAAAAATTGATGCACCAATGATCGCTCCCATCGGCGGCGTTGTTATTGGCGGTGGAATCGTCGACGGCGAGAAATTCGTCGGGATCAAAGTTGTCATCCATGGCGGAAGAGAGAGAAAGTTTAAGAGAATTGAAGAGGATGGAGAAGAGAGAGAAAATAAAGATTGTTGATTATATTTGTCCATGATTTATGCTTGAATTGGCTTGATAATTGCTTGAGATTCTCGGATTTTCCAAAATATGCCCAAAAAAATCGAATTGGGGCTTTCTTGTGTGATGTATAATTGTTGAAATTGATTGTCCTATGTGATTGTATGTTGAATTGTGAGCGTTTTGATAACAAAAGCATGTATTTTAGTTGAGAAATGAGCAAGTTATGTTAAACCCATGAGCTTAGTACGGGACCTTGAATGGAGGTTTCGTCATTATTGTTGACCTTTTAATTATTTTTATGTATATCAGCCAACAAAAGGAACATATCAACCAACAAATGAAACATATCAGCCAATAAAAGGAACATATCAGCCAACAAAAGATAGATATCAGCCAACAAAAGAATGAAATCAGCAAACAAAAGTAACAGGTAAGCCAACAAAATAAACATATATTAGCCAACCGTACATATCCTCTAACAAACTATAAATATCCTCTATCAAATAACACATATCCTCTACCAAATACTACATCATATCCTCTAACAAATTGTATGTATCCTCTATCAAAGATAAATTGTACATATCCTCTATCAAATACTACATACCCTCTAACAAACTGTACATATCCTTCACCAAATACTACATCATATCCTCTAACAAATTGTATGTATCCTCATAAATTGTACATATCTCTATCAAATACTACATATCCTCTAACAAACGGTACATATCCTCCAACAAACTGTACATATCCTTTATCAAATAACATACATCCTCTAACAAGTTGTACATATCCTCTATCAAATAATACATATCCTCAACCAAATACTACATATCATTTATACTTGCCGCATGAATTCTTTGGTGCGGCTTGCCGCACCCAATACTTTCTCTTATTTTAATCGCTCTCAAATTAAACTTCTTAAGTTTTGACTTTTGAATATCAAGTTCTACTATCAAGTAAGTAATTATCATCCCTAAAAAATAAAAAAATAAATAAAAAATAATTATCAGTGTAAGATCATGTATACATCACAAGAGGTGCCTAAATCAAATTCTTTAACTTTATGTATATGTCATATCATCAAATTCTTCGGGCTTGGCACGTTTGATTTGGGGGGTTTCAAGAAAGGAAAAAGGTTACTATTAATTACCTTGTGTTTCGGGTGAAAATAATGGGTCCTTCATCTGGACCTTTCTTGTGGGCTGAATACTGGATTCGGCCCAAGTGATGACTGGGACGAGGGTTTCCTGCATTGAAAACACTCGTAAACTTGCCTCGGGGGTTGTGCCGAGGAAGGCCCCTCCGATGCCGAAGTCGGTACAATGTTTCTAGAGAGAGAAAGTTATGCAAGAGAATTAATTCCTTGAGGCTTGAAGTGAATGAATGTAAAGAAAGGGAAGTCTTATACCTTGCTCAAATAGATAGATTGGGCCTTGAAGTCAAACGGGTTTGCCATGTTGACTGGGCCTTTGACTGACCTGGCATGCTTTGGGAGAGTAGAACCTTCTTTGGGCTTAGTAATTCAATCATTTGTGGACTGACCCAATTAGGGTAAAATGGACCCAGACAACTTGCCCTAGACCCGGTTCGGAATTGGGACGAAGTGAGTTTTGACTTGCAAATTGGAGGGAAGCAAATGATTTAATTAGCATTTAAATTTTTTAGGTTATTGAGGTAATAACGGTTGTTTGGGGTTAATGGAGGATGTAGATGTTTAAGTGGGCGGTTAATTAGAGAAGAAGACGGAAAGGTGGAGCATTGAAATAGAGTTAGTGGGGGTTTTAGTGGCGCGGACTCCCAAGATTCTCATTTCTGGAAGGTATTTAAGCCACTCGTCCCTTATTTCATTTTGCTAATTTCCAATTTCTAGCTGCATTACGGGCTTCGGTTCCCACTTCACTCCTTTATAACTTCGGTGCTGAACAGGTATAACATCTCGTTGTGTCGTTGACTCCCGTGACCATCCAAAGGGTGATGACTTATCTTTGGGTGTGCCTGTTTTATGGATTTACGCCGAGCATCCATTGCTTCTGCTGCATGCATAAACTGGTCCCGAACACCAAGGCAAACAGGTTTCACGGCCCTAGCTGGTGGCAAAATGAAGATGAGAAGAGCTACCTTTTGGTCTGGCCGAATGATATCTCGGATAAAGACAGGAGGGGTCAATGGATCTAGGTAAGTGTGCCCCAATATGAAGATCGTCCAAACCACTTTGGTGCGCCAAGGTATCTAAGAAAGCCTGACCCCAGCATGCCTTGTATCGATCCTGATGAGTTCTCCGATGCGGACATGAAGCAAATGGTACTTTTCGGCTGGACCACAATGCGTGGGGCCACGGGCCGGATGAAGGACGTGCCCACTACTTGGCTGCCTTGCTGCTACTACATCTTCCAAGAGAAGATGCTTGTTGTTGTCGGCCTTAGCCGAAAATACCAAGGCGGTAAGGAGCTCGGCTAGGGCCGAGGACTTTATTATTTTCCTTTTTTGTTTCTTTTGTTTTTTATGCCTATTTTCTTCAGCGAAGTTAACTGTTGTTTTTGTCTCTTCAGTGTTGTACGAAGAGAATTCTGGCATTGATTACGAGATGCTTGGGATCACTCTGGAGAGGAATCCGATCACCAAAAATCCCAAGAGCACAAATTCAAAGGATCGACCTCTCAGCTTGCATGAGAAGAGATTTCAGATAGTCAGCGCGGTTGAGTATCAAGAGCATAAACCTTGGTCGGAGAAGAGTGATCCCTACTTTGTTCTGACTGCCGAAGAGCAAGCCGCTGCAGCTCGTGCTTCTTCTGCAGCTAGAACTCTCGCTGCTGATGGGACTTTTGGTGCTGCTTGGCCCTCTGCTCCTGCTGCCAAGCAAACTGAAACAGCTTCTCTAGGAGTTGAAGAGCAAGAAGACGAAGATGAACGTCTACTCAAGACTTCGGTAAGCTTTCAAACTTGGCTCGTTTGTTGTTGTGTTATGTTTTTTTATTTTATTTTTATTTATTTTTAATTATACGGTTCTTTGCCCCCCTGTTCCTTCTTCTCCAGTCTAACGAAGAAGGAGGAAACAAAGGAGAACTTGCTGTGACTGCCTAGGACTCTTCTTCAGACAAGGAAATGAACAGGCCGAGGAAGAGGAGAGCCATTGTAAGGCCGGGGCAATTTCAGGCTGCCCCGGTTCCCACGAAGAAACCTCGGCTAGAGGAGGAGAAAATAGAAGAAGTTAAAGAGAAAACCCCCTCCTCCTCCTGAGGCTCTAGCCGAGGAAGTAGTCAAGCAAAAGACTCCTCCTCCAGAGCCATTGATCAATGTTCAGGAGATCTCATCTGAAGAGCGGGTTTTGTAGTCCTCTTCTCCACCTCGAGGAGGGCTCTTCGCTGAAGACATTTAGCGGGAGACTGATGCTCTTTTGCTAAACAACCCGAGGATAGTGCTGAAATTCTAGATGACCAGATGAAGGGTCTCGAGGACGAGGATCCCAATAGAAATGTTGAAGCTGAGAAGAAGACCGAGGAAGTGCCTTCTGCCTCGCTGAACCAGTCCTTCAAGACTTTTCAGTCTGCGGACATGAGTTTCGACTCGGCTCCTCTACTTCTTGTTCCTAACAGCACTAGGAACATCCTTTGATCACACCGAAGCTCGGCTGTTGAGTCTTTCAGCGATCTGTCGAGCCTAACCGACCTGGAAAAGGCGAAGACTTGGTCTCTTCGGGCTACAGCTGGGATAGTCGAACCCTTGGTGAAGGACCCTTTTGCTGAAACCCAGAAGTTGCAAATATGCAGATGAGGTTTCTAACATCTAAGAATTTTTTACTTAAGGTTTTATTCTTTTTTTTTTTTATTTTTTTATATTTTTTTTTTTTATAACTCTCTTGCTTTGGCTGACGGGCTTTTAACCTCTACAGGCTGTTCAGAACCACACCTTGGCAGTAGAAATGAACGAAGAGTTGAAATTTAAGCTTGAGG